TCAGAAGATCAATTGCTGGTTTTTCATATGCTGTCTTGAAGTGCAGAATTCTACTAAACATATCACTGTTTAATGCATCTGGTATATTTCTGAAGAGGCTTTCAGAGTAGCCTGGGCAGACCTGCCCAGTTTATAAGTTCATGGTAACATAGTACATAAATCCAAGGAAATAAGATCTGTAAGAATCGAGGACCAGCTTAGGCTTACATGATGGGTATTAGGTTAGGAAAAGAAAATTTCCAATCATTCAGTCATAGTCTGTTTAAGCAGACTTACATGTAAACCAGGATCATCTCTATACAAGTTTATTATAGGTTTCTTTAATATCTTATATGAAATAAGAGAAAAATATATGGTTGTGCGTACCCTCTTGTTTTATGCAAGCCAGTTTTGACCTTGTGAGTGTGTTTCTTTGTGCTGGCTCAGTATTGTGTATTGAGAAAGGAAGTGATTTTTGCATCTATGATATTACAGAGCTCCTCAAAGTCCACCCTCGTGATAGTCTGGGGACATAAGACAGCCAGGTATCTTGTGGGCAGCCTCTGAATCAGTATTTTGGAACCGAGAGGGTTTCACTTTCTTTTCCAGACCCTAGGATGCTAAACCATTTAAGAAAATAATTTATTCCAAGCAGCTAAAGCATGTGTTAGTTTAAAGGTGTCTGCTTATTTGGTTGAGCAACTTAACTGGTAAAGTGTTATTCTAAAAAAAAAGGAAATATAAAATGGACAACTATGTAAATACCCATGGTCTGCAGAAACTGCTTCTCTACAATAATACCAAAGTAAGTAATGGAATTTTTTTTTTTTAAAGCAGGTCTGCAGTAAAAGATAGTATTGTCTTTTTTAGTCCTCCTGCTCTCAACTCTCATCATTTCTTAATATTTTGCCTTTAAATATGTGAGTCTTAGTGTAAATAACCCCAAATGATAACTATTTCTAGAATAGCAAATATATTAAATTCTTGCAACTTAGGGAATTTACCTATAGTTGTTAACATTAATTACAAGAAATGGCTCTATACTATTTGAGAAGTAAACACATTTTTAAAAATGGAGTTTTGATATAGAGTAGAACCAAAACACTCAGTAACATTCATGCCCAAAATTGAGTGAATAAAGTTGCAGATCAACTTAAAAATCAATTTGTAAGCAAAGTGACTTTTGGGAGTAGTGATTGTTTTATATTTCAATAGTATCAAGTTTAAAAATTAGTTGTAAGACACTGTCTTTCTATGTTATATTTTCCCCAGGGATTGAACTCGGGGACATTTAGCCACTGAGCCACATCCCTTGCCCTATTTTGTATTTTATTTAGAGACAGTGCCTCAC